GTTTAGCTGTGAAAACCCTTTGCTCAGCCAGGGAATTAGTTATATCAAGGGGATGGGCTGAGCTGCAAAGCTGCTGAATGCTATGCTGACACGTTTTACTAAGCTGCAATGGACACGAAACAGCCGCCTGCCACCTGCTCCCAGCCCTCGCGAACAAGTAGCTCCAACAGCCTCTTCCCAGATCCTCCTGCTCCAAATATCTGGGATATGCACAAAGTTTGTGCTTTCCCTCTGGAAGTGTCCGCTCGCTCCCAGCCCCAGAGACCTGGCAGGGAGGTGCGAGATGTCCCCACCATGGCCCACGGCACCTCAGGATGTGGTGATGAAACACAAAAGCATCAGGTCAGGCTTTGGCTTTGTGTCTCTGAAGTGGGGATTTGCACCGAAACATTCGTGCAGCTGAACAAACGCAGGGAGGAGAGCGCTGGGAGCAGGGGAGGAGGGTGTTTGGTTATCACCACTCAATTCCTCCAGCACCATGGTGCTGTAGCCAGGGGTGCTTAAGCCCTTCACAAGGGGAATGGCCAGGCCAAATACAGGCTAGGAGGGACTTGGAGAGGTTCCAGGGTCGGTTCAAAGCAGACAAGTCCCGCCTGGGACCAGCCAGGCTGAGAGGAACAGGGCAGGACAGCTCCAGGGTGAGGACCAATCCTTGTTCTGCACCCACACATGCAAGGGACATCTGTGTAGCATGGGATGGAGCAGAGAGCAGCTGGGGCTGAGCCCATCCACCAGTCCTTTAGGGCAGAGCCAAGTGGTGTCCACCCCATTATGCCTGTAGGACCTGGGACTACACTGGACACTTATCACCCCTTGCTTCGAGTACCAGGCTGTTCCCCATCCCAAGAGCAGCCTTCACTTCCTCAGGCAGCCGCCTTTTATTCTCAGTTTGGCCCTTTGGTCAGACTAGGGCAGTTCTTCCAAGAGCAGGTTATTCCAGGCTGATCCTCTGCAGCCTTCCAGAGCTGGGCACAAGGCAAGGACAGGATCCTCCCGCAGTCAGGACAAACAACACGTTCCTTAGCACTGCACACTTTCGTAGCAGAAGTATTTGAGGACACATGCTGCAAGTCTCACATCACATCTACATCTCTGGTACACAGTCACTGAAACAGCACTTAGAGGACTCCAGGATCCAACTCAAGCCTCTGCTCCCATTTCAGCCAGCTGCCCCTTCCTCGCATCCCTTCCCCAGCCTTTAGGTTTGGCTCTGCTGTCAGCTTCCATCAGGGAAGCAGCAGCTCAGCCAGCCTTGTCCCGGAGCCTGAACTGCTGAACTATCACTTGATGGACACGAGCAGGGTCCTTTCTAGGCAGCATTAAAATAATATTCCATAAAAGCCCCTCCACGCGCTTTCCCTGAGCCAGCAGTGCTTTTGCAGCACCATCACCCGCAGATGCAGCTCTGCTCAGCAGCAAACTCGAGCTCAATCAATGCTTTGCCCTTAGAAATTTCCTTTGCCCTCCCAAAGAGGCCCTGGAGGGTCTCCAAGTCACCCAGGAGGCAGGAGAGCTCTCCACGTAGGAGACAAAGGAAATGAACCAGGGCAAATCCCCCACCCATGTAAATCAGCCCTGGCATCTGGTGATTTACACTGATCTACACCAGCTGGCTCTGGCCACATCAAGTTCAATTTAAACCAGCTGAGGCTCTGGCACAGCCTGTGGGCTTGGGGGAAAGAGGAGAAAGGGAAGGCAGAGCAAGGCTTGTGTTACAGAGCCAGGGTCAGGGCTGGGCTGTAGCTGGGTGTCCTGGGCTGCAAACCTGGTTCCAGGCTTGCACCCTGCGGGCAGGCAGAGGCTGTGGGGAAGGGGCACCAGAGGAGGGCCATCATCATGGGTGGTGCCACGTCACCCCACAGCCTCCCTGGCTGGGAAACAGCTCTGGGTTTCCAGGTCTGTCATCTCAGGCAGAGTGGAAATGTCATGGCAGCAGTGTAAAGGTTGGGATCTCAGATGTGGTTAAGGATGTTTCTGTGAGGAGAGCTTGCAGAAGAGGCTCGGGGTTGCTCTTGTGAGTGGTCTGGATTAAAGTCCTGAGCGGTGTTTTCTATCTGATTGCTATTCGGGGGGGCTCGATCCCACAAGCAGTGCTGTGGGGCTGGGGGATGACCTGCTCTCGGTGGCCTCTGCTGGTGGAGGCCCCGTTGCAGATGCTGGGGCTGCTGCCCACCCATGCCTGTCACTAGTGCTCAGAGCCAGCTGCCCCCCACATCTGTTGACCTGACTTAGATTTGGGCAGGGGAGCAGAGCTCTCCAGCCAGAGCTCCCAAGCACTGTCCCTGCTCTGCTGGTTGCTCCCTGCCTGCCCATCTTGTGCCAGCCTTTCCTGCAGATCAGCTATTGCACAGGGGCCGAGACGTGACAGCAGTGATGAATACCTACAGAGCTCCAGGCTTCTTGTGCCGGAGGAGAACCATCATCATGTTTATCATAACCGCGTTAGTGTCCTGGAAGCATCAGCTTCTGTGCTTGAGCAGAGTAGTGCCAGCTGCAGGGCAGAGCAGCCAGATGGCCTGTGCACCAAGCAAGTGAGCAAAAGGGGCTGTTAAGCCCCTGCACGCACATCTATCCCCTTGTAGACCACTCCTTCAATGTTTATGGTCAGGAACATCTTGCCAGTTTGAATCAGGAATAGTTCTGCTCCCTGGGCTCAGTGACACCAAGCAGTCACATCCCACGATGTGCCACACAGCCATAGCTGGAACTTTGCTAGCGAATCTCCATCATCTGAACTATAGATTTTATGGAATAGCCACTCTTTTCTCAGAGCATTTAAAGTTTTAGTTCATGTTTAGGGTTGTGTTTGGTGAGAAAACCAAAGGGGAGGCATCAGCCGCTCAGTCATCAGTTCAGCTCCTGAGTTTCTAAGGGCTTTGGCTGGGTTGTAGCTGGGCAGAGATCTTAGATCCTCCTAGAGGAGGAAGGTGCTCCTCTTTCTAGCACAGTTTTCACATCTGGCCCTTGCGGGGTCATACTGAAAGAATGTAAAGGCATGTATTACTGTGGGTGCTCTCCTGAGGATGGGAGCAAAAGGATGGTGCTGAGATGAGGTGACACTGGACAGGTTGAGATAGGCTGGGGCACGCATGGATCAGAGGTGCTGGTGTAAAGTGGTGCCTGGTAATGTTGGGATGTGGGTGTTCAGCCTCTGGGGTTCCCTTTCTTGTTGGTTTCCCCACTCAAGATGAAAAAGAAGATGCTGCTTTGCTCAGACTGGGTTTGGCTCTGCTGCCAATGGGGAGGGTTGGATTTGGTGTCCATTAGACCTCCTGGAGCATCTCCCCATGTTTCTGAATGCACCTCCCATCCCAGGGACACCTCCTGTACTGAGGCTGGTGAGCTAAGAGAGCACAGAGCATCCAGTGCACCCAGACGCTGGTGCCCTCCTTGCCTGGACTGGCTCTGTGCATCCACCACTGGAGACCACCTTGTCCAACACAGCCCCGTCCCAGAGCTGACTTCTCACCGCAGCCCCTGTGCATACAGCAGAGCTGCAAACAGAGCCATTGTCAGGAAATGCTGCAGCTGTGCAGCCACCTCCCACCGCTGCCTCAGTTTCTCTTCCAGGCCTGCTTAGTGTCAGCTTCTCTCAGAAGGAACTGCTTCTTGAAAGGGCTCTTATACATAAGAAAGAAGGACATAAGAAATGGGGCCTCCAGCCCTGCTGAGGCTGTGGCAGATGCCACCCTTGTGTGTGCCAAAGCCATGCTAAAGGAGGACACACGGGGGATACTGCACAGCTTCTCCCCCAGAGCTTCAGGTCATGGTCCACTGGAGAACCTGGGATGTTGCACAGGCAGGGTGGCTCTGGTCTGGCACTGCCAGTGTGGCTTGGGGCAGGATACAGGCACCCCGCGTGTGCTGGCTGTGGGTATCAGCAGCACCCCACATCTCCGCAGCATCCCACCCTGCTCCCAGAGCCCTCGGCACTGCTGGGGCTTTCCAGCAGGTTTTCAGTCCTGGTCACCAGTGGTGGCTGTGGAGGAACAATGGGCACTTGGGTGAGCTGGAGGTATTCAAGGACTATTGCTGCACCAAGGCCTCCTGCTGCAGCCAGGTGTGGGTTTTCTGTGGCGCTGGGGGCTTCTCCTTAGCACCCATGGATGTTAAGGAGACATGGGATGTGCATGGACAGCGTGTCTGTGAGCCAGCCCTGGCTCTGGGAGCTGGCACGGGGTGGCACACCTCCAGCCACTGTGGCATTACCTGCCTGTGATGCCATCTGGCTTCACCCCACATGGGAGCAGGTCCCCAGGAGCAGCAGTTACTGGAGCAGGGCTCAGCATCTCTGCAGCCGCTTGGGACCGTGGCCCAGCTCCAGCCCCGCGCCGTGCCAGCATGCCAGCATTCCCACCTGCCCGCTGCACCGGCCGCTGCACCACCGGGGCACAGCCAACGTGTCCCAGCAGTGGGGGCCCATTAGAAATGAAACGTTCCTACTGGGGTATTTTATTTGCACACTTCAGTAGAGTGGACACCAAAAGGCTTTGCTAATGCTTCATGGGCTGCTAATTTCCTCTCTGACCTGCATTGTCGGAAGGTGACCCCAGCCCGAATCTCTCGGCAATGAATGCCAAAGGCTGACACCGGCCCGGGTTAGGGGTGACAATGGGGCCTCTGTGGGCTCCGGGCAGTCTCCAGTTGGGAGCTGAAGAACAGGGGGAATTTGTGTGGCTCTCAAAAGCTCTGGGTGGCACAATAAGGGAGGCCCCCAGGGTCTCCCAGGAAGACAGAGGCGGCCCAGGGAAGCTGGGCTGGGGGAGGCGGGCGGGAGGATGGTTTCCTTTGTGAGCAGCTTTCTTTAGAAAGGAAGGTTTTTCTGAATGCCCCCTTAGACGACCCAATCGGGGCCTGGCAGATGGATATCACGGGCACGCTGCTTATTCATGGCAGGCTGCAGCTTTGAGCTGACCCCCCCCCCTCCCCAGCCTTTTATTCATTTTAAGGCTAATTTGTTTTGTTAATGTTTTCTTGCCCTCCCCCTCTCTCCTGTGCAGATTGTGACTCATACTGCAAAGCCTCCAAGGGGAAACTGAAGATCAACATGAAGAAGTACTGTAAGAAAGACTATGGTGAGTCTCGGCTGCTGCTTCCCAGGGACCAGGCATTCCAAACGGATGCAGAGCAGGAGCATCTCCTTCCCGGGTGTCCCCAAGCCCAGCTCAGGCACAGGCTGCCAGCTGGGTCCCAAGCACAGGGGGACCAGGGAGCCCCAGTCTGCTGCACGGCCCCTGCCTGTGCTGGGGTGTCTGCATCTGGGATATGGCTTTTGCTGGGTTGGGAGAGGCAGCCCTGGGTAGTGATGCTTGGTGGAGCCGTGATGCAATGTGTTACTGGGGAATATGAGTCCCCCTGCAAATGCTGAGGCAACTCCCAAATCAGGGTCCATAGCATCCCCATCCCACGGTGTCCTCTAGGTCACAATCACACCACGTCCTTTCTGTTCTCACTGTGCTGTTACATGCACCAGCTTTTAATAACTGTGCTTTGCTGTGGGGACATGCAGCAGGCGGTTCCTGTCGTCTGGATCCATTCCCCTAAAATTCCCAGGCAAATTCAGAGGGTGGTGCAGCCTTGGGACATGCTAGGGAGGCTGTGGGATCCTCATCCTTGCTGGCACTCGAGGACATAGCATCCTTCCACAGCTCCAGCTTGGAGCAGCAGCTTGGAACAGGCACATCCCGACCTCCCACCCCATTTCTTTGCTCCTGGGAGTATTTTTAATGTGGCTGCAGTCCCAGTGTGGCCACCAGTGGGTCCACGCAGGAGGTGTCCACGCTGACCCTGGCAGGATTTCTATGCATCTCTATGCGTGTATTTTTTTATGTATCTATATTTTCACTGAACACCAAGGAAAAAACCTCCCATTCCATCTGCATCAACGCATCTTGGAGCGGAGACACCTCCTCCCTCCCCTAAACGCGCTCCCAGCAGCGGCTCAGCGTGTCTGGGAAGTGTTTGCAAGAGCAGAACAAATTCCCATTTAACAGCCCATCCCCGGACAAGGCACTCCCCGGCAGGGCCGGCCGAGGGATGTTCCGCGCTGGCTTTGTGCTCTGGCACCTCCCCGCAGGCTCAGGGGAAGGGAGAGGGGCTGAAGGCAAATGTTTTATTTGCATTCCCATTTACTCAGATGGTAAAAGCGTTGTGGAGAGCATCCCTTGGTGCCAGGGCTTGGGTGCACTTGTCCCCATCCAGCAAGGTCACACTGAGGTTCATCAGGTGTTGGGAAGGTCCAGAGAATGCCTTTTTCCTTGGGGAAAAGGGTTTAATTGCAGGACAGAAAACTGCTAGAACATAGGGTTGTTAAAGATGGGAGTGGGGCTGAGCACCAGCCTATTAAAGCCATGGGGTTTTCATGTGTTGATTCTCTGCTGGCTGCTAAGGTCATTTGTACCTTAGTAGCCAGCAGAGAATGTGTTTCCCACACTAGACATGCACATCCCTTCACTTTCCCACCTGGCTTCTAAGGGCCGAGCTCATGTCAAAGCATTTGCTCTCAAGAGGAGAGAACAGCCACTTGATAGCAGGAAACTCGGACCTGTCATGATCCAAATTGGTCCCAGGGGCTCAGAGGCTGGTAGGGCCATGCATCCCCCTGGAAGCATGCTTACAGCCGAGCAGTGTTATCTGCCCCTGTGGCTCTGGGGCAAAGGCTTGCAATGTTTTGGTGGCAGCAGTACTTGGGATTTGCTCAAGGGGCAGCCCCGGCCCCAGTTTGGTTTTGCTCCTTGGCTTGTCCGGCTTCACCAGGGAGACGTTTCTTGGGGGTTCGGGTGAGAGCTCACCCTTGGCTCTGCTTGAGGCTGTACTGTGGGCTCAGGCGCTTCAGCAGACGCTAAGGAGATGAGAGCAGCTCAAGAGCTGTCTCGGGCAGGAGATGACTCCAGAGCAGTGGATACTGGTACTGGAAAGAGCTTTTATTTCCTCTTTTACCACTCCCTTCTGCAAAGGCACAAGGGAGCCAAAGGCATTTGCCGGGGCTGGTTTGGGGTGAGCTGGCGCAGACTGTCCCAGCACGGGACCTTGGGTGCTTCCACCCGAGCCCTCCTGGAGCCGGGAGGGTCCCCAGCCAGCCCCGCAGCCACCATGGATTTGCTTTTCCAAGGGCAAATTGCCCGGCGAGGCAGCAGGAGAAGGGATGCTGCAGCAGAGCGCGGCCGGGCCGGGGCAGCCCATGGCTTTGACAGAGCCAGGGAGAGAAGAAAGGGTTGAAAAGGTGCAGGGAGGGATAATAAAGACTTTGGGACTGACACCCCAGCAGGAAGCCAATTAGGAGGTTCTTTTCCTCACCGTTACACTGGCATCGCTGGACTGAATGTCCTAAAAGACCCTAATTAGCTTGAACAGAGTTACTTCTCCCGCCGCTCAATCGGGAAGCTATCATCCGCCCCGCGCTTCTCAATGGGGCTTTTTAGCTCCCCGTTTCATTCAGCGATTCAAAGGGGATATTTTCCCTTATTTATTTTTCTTATCTGTTTGTTTCCGTTGGGTTTGTGCTGGTTTTGGGGGGGGGTGTGTGTGTGTGTGTGCTGGAGTTTTTTTATTATTCCTTTTATTTTAAATTGGTCTCTTTCCTGCGGGATGGGTTTTGGTGCAAATATTTGGAGTGGAGCAGGGCACGGGGAGGGCAGGCGGGGGGGGGGGGGGGGGCAAGAACAGAAGCAGAAAAGCTTTTCCTGGTTTATTTTGGCTGCCTGGTGGAGCGCAGGGGTCGCTCAGCTCCCACAAAACCCAGGCGTTACAGAGGGGTTTGCTGGGTTCAGGGCGGTTAAAATTAGCCCAGGGCAGCAGCGGGGGGGCCCTGCTGAGGATGGAGATTCCCCCATAGCCCAGAAGGAGAAGAGATCGTTTTAACAGGGCAGGAGAGGCTGGTGCAGGTGATGCAGGAGCATCCCTCACTTGTTCAGATGCTGCCGTGTCAGTCCGATCCTTGGGGCTTTTCCCGCTGTCCGTGGTGTGATGGGCAGCAGTGGTAAAGGTAAACCTGGTACTCTTTAACCTCGATTTCCCCTCGATCTTGAGCGCTCTGCACTGCAGCAGGGCCCGATCCTGCACAGATGATGCCAGAGCGTTTTGGTGGGTGCCGGCACTGTGATCCCAGTCATTGCCCCCATGCCCCTAGTGCAGCACCAGGGAAGGATGGAGGTGAGGAGCAGGATCCTCATCTGAAAGGTGAGATCATCTGCTCACTTTGTCCTTTCTTGGAAAAAAGAGCAAAAAAATCCTTCCTTCAGTGGAGACTTCACTTAGTCACCCCCTTTGTTGAGAGGAGCTTGGCAGAGACTGCTGGAAAAAGGCAAAACGAGTTTTCAAAAGGCAGCTTGAAAAGAGGGAGGGAGGGAGAAAAATCCCTGAATCCACAGAAAAACCCAAAGTGGGGAAGCACCGTCCCTGGCTCATCCCTGGCTCGCAGCCCCTTCTACCATCCTGCAAGGTGGAGAAATCCCATTCCCAGAGCAGGGAAGCACTGAGCAATCCCTCCTGTAACCGCATCCCAAAGGGAGCACCCTCCCCCAGCACTGCAGGGACAGACCGTGCCCAGGCCAGCTGGGATTAGGGGCCATAAATCTCCAGTATTAAACCAGGAGGAAACTGGTGACCAGAGGCAGGCGAAGGCACTGGGAAATGAATTACAAGTATAAAAAATGGGGGGGGGGAATCCTATTTTAACTCTTTGCTCCAGTGATGAGCCACCCTTTCTATTCCCAATCCCAAGTGGCACCAGGGTCACCTTTTGCTGCTGGTTGGAGTAAAACCTACATGGGCTCTGCTCTGGCTGTGCAGTGAGAAGGGACCCGAGCCTTGGAGAAGCCCTGCTCAGGCTGGGACTCCTGCATCCGCAGCCCCTGTCCCCAGCACCCATTTCCATCTGTCCATATGGAAAAACCCTCTTGTCTCTCCCAGCTCCTGCTGCCACCCCAGTGGTCCCATGGGATCTCTCCCCATCACTGGAAGCTCCACAAAGCTCCAGCTCCCATAGGCAGGTTAGAACATAGGATGGGTGGGTTTGTCTAGTCCCAGGTCAGCTCTGGCAGGGGAAATCTTGAAATAGGGACATTTATCACAAACCCCAAAGATAAATTAAAAAGAAATACACTTTTTTTTTCCAGCCTCACTCTTTTCATGGCAATCTCATGGTTTTTTTGGGTCCCTGACTCATGGTCTCTGAATGCTTCAAGGCGCTGCTTTTATTTAAGCCTTCACCCTGCTGCCCTCAAACATGTCGTTTCAAAGGGTTGATTTTTGTTTTTATTAACATCAAATCATCCACCCCTCTGCTTTCATCTGCAGCATCAACCCTTCAGGTCTTTCTTGTGGCTGGAGGCTCCCGGCCAAGCCTCAAGGAGCTGCGGAGCAGGGTGGGCCCCAGCTGCATCCCCTCCTTGCAGCCTGGGGACCACTTGTCCAGCTTTTCCTTGCATCACCTGGGCTGGTGTGACTCGTGAGGCAACATCCAGGCAGGATTTGTGTTCAGCAGCTTTGGTGTCAGGTGGGATGGGTTTAATGTGGCAAGCCCCATGCACTTACCAGGACCAAGCACCTTCCCCTCACCCCTTGAGCCCCTTTGTCCCAGCTCCCCATGACTGGTTGACTGAGGGCTTATTAGGGGTGGTGGGGAGCAGAGCAGGGCTGCAGCTTCTGTGTTCTTTTGTTCCCCCCTCCGGGTCACCATCCCTTCTGGGGGGACCACAGCGAGGGGAGCACCACCTCCGCCACCCACTTGAACAACCATCATCCCCTGTTATTTCACCTGGTTGCCATAGACACGTTCAGGGATGTTTTCCCAGGGATACAGTGACAGGGTCAGTACAGGGGTTCAGTGGGTGCATTGGCCACGTGAGAGCAGTTCACCATGGGACAGGCAAAGCCAAGCTTTGCCCTAGGAGACGGCAGGTGAAGGAGCACACCACACAGCAGAGCTAGCTTTGGAGCGGTGGGGCAGAGCTGACTCCCCCTGATCCCCAAAACCATGCCAGAACTGAAACCTCTCACAAGAAACAAGTGCCCAAATCCCTGGGGCTTCACCCAGAGATCCGGCTTTCTGAAACCTCCCCCTGGCACCTCCCCACATCATCACCAAAATCCCCTGGGCTCTGAAACCAGGCTCAGGGGAAGCCGCATGTCCCGGATGCAAGCCGTGGGCAGCAACCGGCTGTGAGCGAAGGCAGCTGCGGCTGTGCCAGCCCGGCTCCGCCGCGGCTTCACTCCTTCCACTTCATTAATAAAGGGGAAAAAAAAATAAGAGACTGGGGCCGTGACATCAAACCCTCCAGGCTGCGTTTGAGAGCAGCGTTTCCTGTGCCCGCCCTCCCCGGTTCCTTCGTTCACTCTCTCCATGCTGTCAGGACCCGGCGGGTCAAAGGTTTAAGTTTTTTTGGAAAGACTTGTTTCCAAAAAAGAAAACTTGGCAAATCCTCACATTTTGTTACCTTCGCACCGGGGCGGGAAGCACCCGCTCAGAGCTCGGGGCTGGCGTTTGTAATGAAAGCATCTGGCGCCCATGACATGCTCTGAAAAAACCCCACAGAAAACCCAACATCTATTTTGCAATGTGTTAAAAAGCTTTGCAGGGCCGCAGAGCCCCACTTCCTGCCAGAGCCTGAAGTCAGTTTGCACATTGTGGTTTTAAAGAGAGAGTGATGCTCCTGCACTGCTAACGCAGGGGTAACACTGGGTTGTTACAAGGCAAACAGGAGTTTTGCCTGATTTTTGGAGGTTTCTTCTTCTTCTGTTGATTTCTAGAAGCAAGACTGGACCCGCTGGGGGCTGGCCCAAGGGCTGAGGCTGGAGGTGGACAGGTTACAGCTCACAGGGCATGGAGGGAAGGGGGAGAAAAGGGGAAAGCTCGAACACTTGGCCAGAAGGCACCAGACCGCACAGAGCAGCCAGCCCTTCCCTGCTCTCCACCACCACCTCTGTCTCTGCTGGTGGGGACCCTCATCCCACAGTCAGCAAACAATCCCAGGAGAGCTGGGGGTCACTTCCTGGTGAAGATGCTTTCCTGGGAGCCGATTAGCAAGGAGGAATGTGTTCAACCTCCCTGGAGGATGCGATCTCAGCTGATGGCTGCTCCGCTCCTCCTCTGCTGCCCCTGCACCACCACTGGGAAGAAGCCCAACAGCATGGCAGGACCTGCCTCCGGGCTTGTGTCTCTTCCTCCTCACCATGCTGTAGGACCAGTCACTCCCTTCCCCCCTTGGTCCTTTATCTGTGCTTCTTACCTGCAACGTCTTCTTCCATAGCAAGCAACTGACAATCTTGACTCAAGAACATCTCCTAGAAACACGTGAACAGTGAACCTCCCTGTTTCCAAAGCCTTTCATAGGTCTGAACCCATTTGGTGTCCTGCTCCAAGGCTGCGCATTCGCAGGAGCTGTCTCCTTGCCATGGCGCCAGGAAGTTGTGCTGGAGGCCCTAACAGGTCTTTCCTACATCTACATGCCAAGTGCTTGTAGCCATGGGCCAGTGCCAGTGTTTTGCTTCAGATCTGGGCTTATCTTCTCTTCAAACCAGGGGCTGTCTTAGGGTCCTGGTGCAGACGCACCATCCGGCGAGGAGGAGTGAGCAGAGGGGCTGGAGGGTTGGCCCATGCAGAAACCCATCGTCAGCAGCATGAGCTGCTCTCTGGACACGTGGGTCCGGAAAAAAACTCATCCCAGGTCCTACAGCAGAGCCTGGGATTTTGGCACTGCTGATGGGCACAGGAGCCTCCCTGCCCTACCCACATGCTTTGTGCACAGAGCTTCAGCCCCGTGACACTGCCATGGGCTGGAGGAACAACCTGTCCCTGGGTTTGTTAATTTTCTCTGCTTGCTGCTGCAAGGGAAGAGGCAGGGTCCAATGTACAGAAACCCACTGATCGTGAAAGACTTTTCCTATTGCTTTAAGAGTTCACAGGTGCTGGGGCAGACGTTGATGCACCAGCAGCCCTGTGGAACTGCTCCATCTGTGCTTGCTTTACAGCCATGCTCTGGGAGATGATGGTCTTCCTCAGGACCCAGATAGGAGATTGAGGCAATCTGCTCTCCCCTAGCTCTCTGTGTACCCCTGTGTTATTCCCAGCGCTCCTGGCACAAAGAGAGCCATGGTTCCTGGCATACAGCTGCTCCCAGCCTGATCTTCCCTCCTGGGGTCCTACAGCTCTTGTGGTCCTTGGGTAACCATGCCCATGCTCACTGGGGACCCAGAGTCCTTATAGCAGCAATGCTGGAGAGCATCTCCCTAGGTTGCTGTCCCCAGCCTGGGCTCAGGAGACAAAATCCCTTTCCCTCACACAGCCTATTAGACCTGAAATTCATTTTCTTCTTGCCAGCTCAAATTAGAACATCTTTTCCTCTCGCCTCGTGTTGTGTTTTCTTTTTTCCAGCTGTCCAGATCCACATCCTGAAAGCGGAAAAAAATGCCGACTGGTGGAAGTTCACGGTCAACATCATCTCCGTCTACAAACAAGGGAGCAACCGGATACGGCGAGGAGACCAGACCCTGTGGATCCACTCCAAGGACATAGCGTGCAAGTGCCCCAAAATCAAGCCCATGAAGAAGTATTTGCTGCTGGGCAACAACGAGGACTCTCCTGACCAGAGCGGCATCATTGCGGACAAAACCAGCCTGGTGATACAGTGGCGGGATACGTGGGCTCGGCGGCTCAGGAAGTTCCAGCAGCGGGAGAAGAAGGGGAAGTGTAAGAAAGCCTAAAGGAGGAGAAGGCGACGGGAGTGCGCGAGAGGGAGAGACTGACTGTGCATGCTGCTTTGTGTAGAGCTGGGGCGGGCAGGGGCCGGCAATGGGGCGGCGGGAGGACGGTTGCACTGTCGGGATGGGCTGGGGGGACAGGAGGGAGCAGAGGGCTGGGGGCTGCCAGGTTTGCACCTCATATTCCAGGAGAAATCAAAGCAAAACCCACAACAACGAATCTCACCCATGGACACAAGAGGCTGTGGCTGCGGGTGTGCAGTACCCAGCACCCCCAGTCTCAGTCTGCCCTGCTGGCTGAAGAAATCAGAGACACCAAACTGCCCTCCAGCTGCTAACATCTGCTGCTTCCAGAGCTCAGCATGGGAACATCAAACCTGTAAGAAACAAATCAACAGCAACGCTGGAAATTAACTCCCCGTCCCCCAAAACTATATTCCCAGCTTAGGCTGAACAAGAAAGTTGTTGTAGAGGAAACTCAACAGAGACTTGTCGCTGAGGACAGACCTGAGGATCGACTGATGGGTTATTTGAACACTCTTTGGTATCCAATAGCCATAACAATCATCGCTTGCTGTGCAGAACCTCGGAGCGGCCGAGGTCTCCAGCTGTGGCGATGCTCCAGGCCTAGGTTAGGCACAGCGAGGAGGCCACATTAGTGGGCAGCTTCCACATGGGCATAACCTGGGGAGCAACTCCTTGCTCCAGCCCCACACCCTGAGGAGCGCTGTCCCCACCATGCCAAAGGATTGTGAGCCACAGGATGCCCTGGCACCCTCCCAGCCACCAGTCCACAGTCGAGGAGTTAATAACCAGGATCCCCATGGAAACAAACAGACTTTGCAAAAGAATACACTGGCTTCCTGTTCCCATAGGTGCTCTGGAAGACCTTGCCCATTGCAGCCCCCAAGTCCTCCTTCATGGCCCAAGTCTTCGTCCACCCCTGAGACATCCTTCACAGGCTCGGTCCTCTCTTGCTGCTGTCACCAGACCGATGAACCCTCCCATGACAGAAAATCTGTGCAGATAACACCGAGGTCACTGGTTCCACTCGCAAACTCAGCCACCTCTCCTGAACCCATCAGCTCTGCCCTCACTTCCTCTGGAGCTGCAGCTCCTCAGCATCCCTGCATAACATGGCCAGCCCCCTGGGGAGACTAAGGAAGTGGGACAATGAGTGCCAAGGGGCTGTCACTATAGAGCGCAGAGCTCTATGGCTTGGCCAAGTTACAGCAGAGACCTGCCCCAAGGGAAGGGGTCTCAGCCAGGCACTGGCTGTGACCCACCTGAAGCTACCCATCGGCTCGTTCTGCTGGGGGTGAAAAGCAGCAGATGGAAATGTCTCCACCTCTCATCACTGACGCACTAAGGCAGGGGACACCCCACCTCCACCTCACACCCCATGCCCCAGCCCGAGCGCTGGAGCATCTTTGCCCAGGGCACTCTACAGGCAGGACTGGCTGTTGTTTGTGACCCGGATGCTGTGTCCCTGTGCCAGGCTGCTCCCCTGCCACACCAGCCCATGAGGAACGGGGTGCCTGAGTTCACCTACTTGATGGAGACAGGCAATGGCCAGGGCAGAAAGGCAGGGAGGGCAAGGCGGGTACCTGGAGGAGAAGCAAACACAAGTTGCTACGAAAGGCAAAACCTCCCTGATATTTCTCCTTTTAGGAAACTTGGAAACATCTATTTTATGACATTTTCCAGTGGTTTTGCCTTGTTTTATAGCAATTGACAATATTTATATAATGACATAAACCACCATAAAGTGAGGCAGCCGTGTAAATAGGTGTAAAGTGGAGGGCTCCTGGGGAAGCACTGGCCAATGCTGGGCTGCTGGAGACACCACCAGGAGGGAGCGAGCTCTGCTGAGCCTTCCCCTGCAGCCACAGGGCCCCTCTGGAATCAGTTTGGGTATTAGCAGAGAAATCCCACCCTGGGCATCAAGTGACACCCCCCCCCCAGGTCTGTGTTCTCTCCCCTTACCCAGAGCAGACTCAGTTTTCCCTCCTGCAGAGCTCGAGGAGAACCAACAGTTTTTCTGTCAAGGGAACCCAAGCCACCAAGTTTTGAAAGACAAAATCTGACCTAAAATGTCCAAACGGATGCTTTAAGCCCCAAAAGTGGGATTTGGATGCTCTGCTGTGGCAAGCATCAACTGGTGCCAGGGACACCCCGCACCAGCTGCAGACAGCTTGTCCTTGGTCAGCCAGGATGCCTTTGGACTATGGGAGATCTTCAAATGGCCTAAAAGCAACCAGATCCAACCCATCTGGAGAGAAGGAAGGCAAAGCCATGGGACATGGGACTTAGGAAATGCCCATCGAGCATGCCTGGACATCTAACATTTACTCTGATTTTCCAACCTTGGCAAGCACAGCCATCCTCCCCAGCACAGCCTTAACACCAACCAAATCCACCCAGGGACAAGCCTCAGCCCCTTCCCCAGTCCCAATGGTTTGGGGGGCTGCAGAAGAACCATTACCTCCCCATGACAGGACCCCTCCAAGCACTGACACAACCTGGGAAATCATAAGGAAATGGAGTCTGCACAAGACACAAAACAAGTCAGAGCCCACCACAGCCAGAGCCACCCACAGAAGCGAGGTCCCCATCCCTTCCCCTCCAGGACTCCATTCCTGCCCCTCCAGGACTCCATCCCTGTCCTTCCAGGACTCCATTCCTGCCCCTCCAGGACTCCATCCCTGTCCTTCCAGGACTCCACCCCTGCCCCTCCAGGACTCCATCCCTTCCCCTCCAGGACTCCATTCCTGCCCCTCCAGGACTCCATCCCTGTCCTTCCAGGACTCCACCCCTGTCCCTCCAGGACTCCATCCCTGTCCTTCCAGGACTCCACCCCTGCCCCTCCAGGACTCCATCCCTGTCCCTCCAGGACTCCATCCCTGTCCTTCCAGGACTCCATCCCTGCCCCTCCAGGACTCCATCCCTGTCCTTCCAGGACTCCATCCCTGTCCCTCCAGGACTCCATCCCTGTCCTTCCAGGACTCCATCCCTGCCCCTCCAGGACTCCATCCCTGTCCTTCCAGGACTCCATCCCTGTCCTTCCAGGACTCCATCCCTGTCCCTCCAGGACTCCATCCCTGTCCTTCCAGGACTCCATCCCTGCCCCTCCAGGACTCCATCCCTGTCCTTCCAGGACTCCATCCCTGCCCCTCCAGGACTCCATCCCTGTCCTTCCAGGACTCCATCCCTGTCCCTCCAGGACTCCATCCCTGTCCTTCCAGGACTCCATCCCTGCCCCTCCAGGACTCCATCCCTGTCCTTCCAGGACTCCATCCCTGCCCCTCCAGGACTCCATCCCTGTCCCTCCAGGACTCCATCCCTGCCCCTCCAGGACTCCATCCCTGTCCCTCCAGGACTCCATCCCTGCCCCTCCAGGACTCCATCCCTGTCCTTCCAGGACTCCATCCCTGCCCCTCCAGGACTCCATCCCTGCCCCTCCAGGACTCCATCCCTGCCCCTCCAGGACTCCATCTCTCAATCCCTGCTGGAGTTTTGTGCTTTTCAGCCAGAATAGAAAAGCTCCTTCACTCCGTCCACAGTCCCCCAGTGCCCCTCACATGCTCCCAGTAACCTTGATCTGCAGAGCTGCTGGTGTTACTGGTGCACAGCCCATCCTGTCTGGGGGAGGCAGAATAGCCTGTTTCGGGGTGTCCGGGGATGCAGCCACCCCTGCTCCCGCAGAGACACCTCTGTCCAGTCTCCCAGAGAGGGACCAGAATTCATCCCTGCACACCCACCTCCGTGCCCAGGGTTGCGGCTCTGTCAGGTACAACCAGCACAGAACTCAGCACCCACCCACTGCCCTGGGACGGGACCGAGGCCCTCCGGAGGTGGAGGGGTGGCCGGGGAGGGGCTGTGGAGCCTCAGCACGGCTTTGGAGAGCAGCCGAAATGCCAAATCAAGCACCCCTCGCCGGCAGCACCCAACAGACCTGGTTTCGTCTCCTTTCTGTTCATTTCGTGCCCGTGCCCTCTCCCCGCCACCGCCTCCTCTCCCCTCTCAGAGCCCCTGTTCCTGGTTTGTTGTTTTGGTTTGTTTTTTTGTTATTTCTGTTAATATCTTGAACTGTAAATGTTGTTTAGTTCTGACCATTGCACACTGCTTTGGGCGATGTTTCTTTACAATGCATACTAATATATTATGGTTATTATATATGAATATATTTAATGACACGTGAAAAAGTTGTGGATTTTCTTATTGTTTTTCCAAGTTGTTTCATTGGGGTTTTTTTCCTTTTATTTTTGTTTTCCCTTTTTGGTTGGTTGTTTTATTAGATTGGCTGTAATTGAACCCGAAGGAGCTTGTAACTGTTCAGCACCCACTTGGTAGAACTAAAGTCAGAAACCAGTTGAATAAACTCTTGTAAACTGTAAAAGGCTCTGTTTCCTTCCACTGCACCAGCGCAAGGGACAGGGACTCGTGCAGGGAAGAGTCAGTGTCCCCTTCCCCTTCCCAGTTCTCTGCCAACGTCCCCGTGGCAGGGCCCAGCGTGGTGCGCTGCTATTTCTGACCATCAGCCCCATCCGTGCGTCTCACCAGCATCCTCCATCGCTTCCCATCAGTGGCCACATGCCCTTGGGACAGCCGGGTCACTGCGGGCTCCCGGTTGGTGGTTGGGAAGGATCCCACTTGGGCTCTCTGGGAACTCTGGACCGGGTATGTCCCAGCATCGCACCGGGCTCCCCTTTCTTCCTCTGCCCGCCAGAGGAGACTGTGGGACAGAGCCAGGACAGGCCGAGCCCTGTGGAACCCTGCACAGAGCAGGTGGACAGGTGTGGGGACAGGGGACAACCAAAGCCTGAGCTCAGGGGAGCTGCCAACCCCAGCCCAGACCCATTTTCTGCTCCAGCTCGCCAGCGCTGTCCCTTTCTGCCCATCCGCTTCAGGGGGGCCAGGCTCCATCCCCTCATCTCCAACAGGACATCAGAGGTGCCAGATGCTACTGAAGGACTAGGCAAGGGCTGGACATACACACAAGCTAGAAAGCTGAAGGCGGGGGGGGGGGGGGAACTGAGGCTGCAAAACACTTCCAATGAGAAAAATAGAGGCAAAAGGTCCTGCAAAGTGCTCTGGGGTCACCCCGCCTGACCCCCAGCCTCAGCAGCACCCGTAATTTATGAATCGGAAAACATCTTGGAGGTCAGAAATCTCAGATCTTTATTGCAGAGACAAATGGGTCACAAGTGCCACCACCTCTGCTCCGGGGCTGTCACCTGTGGCTCCTCACAGAAGCAAATGGGTTTCCCAGATTGCTCTGGCTCCGTGTCCTCCAGGTGGTTGTTTGACAAAGAAACGGTGACTCTGGAAAATGGGAAAAGAGCCTGTTCCCACTGAGGGCTGGACCCGAGCGTTTGCTCTCAGCCTCATCCCACTGGGCAGCGTGGGAGAGCTCAGCCAAGCTCAGCACCGAGCTCACACCCAACCTCCAGATACAAGGGCACGTGAAAATACCCAGCAGCCTTTCAAGATCATCTTTCCCCTCAAGTAGCAGAAAGGGACTTCTTTTCAAGGGCACTTGGACAGGGAAGTGCCTCTCACAGGTACCAGACCTTCCCACAGCACTGTATTTCTGATGGAGTACCGACTGGAAGCAGCTAAAACCCTGAGCACATCCTCCGAGACAGCAGTGAAGGAGCTGCAAGGGAAGGCCAAGCTGGGATGTCTCTGTGAGCACGTTCCAGGGGAACGGGGGGACTTTTGCTTGGAGAAGCCACCACAAGTGCATGACTCCAGCAGCCCCATGGCACACACTGAATGGGCAGCTTGAGCACCCTTTGTTCCACGCCTGGAAGTGAGGGCAACCGGCAGCATGGTGACTCCATGCCAGGCACCGGTGAGCTGGGCTCACCAAGCCTGCTCGCCCTGAGCCAAAACCCCGCGGCTCTGGTGCTTTAACCTTCCTTTTTCTTTGGTGGGGCAGGAGACAGAAAAGCTTCCCCCAGCACAGCAGAACGCTGCCAAATCCACTGGTTTTTAATAAAACTCCTCACCCACACGACATATTAAATGTTACTAAAGGGCAAGTCTGAGGCCCCCGTGGTGAGACATTTCAGCAGAGCAAAGCCTCACGTTTCTACCTTTCCTCAGCACTAACAGGAAAAATGTGTTTGAGGACCCAACAGGTCAGGAAACATCGATTTAAAGCCTCTGCCAGAACAAAGTCACTGTGTCACGTTGATCAGAATGAATTATGCATCATCCTGCATGTCCTGGGAATTCAAACAAAACCTTCATTCCCTCCATAAACGGCAGCTTTAATTAGAAACCTGACTCTGTAGCTTCATCTCAATAAACCACGTGTCATTCTCCTGCTGTCACCAGAGATCCAGGGGCTGCGCTGGAGCCCTGAGCTAAATCCTGCTGCAGGGCTCGGGCACAGGAGTTTCCAGTGTTGGTCCTTCCACAGAACTGCAGGAATGCACAAGTTCTGAACACAGCTCCAAGGCTCCTGTTACCTGTTGCCAGCTGGAGTCGCCTTGCTTAAAGCTCTGTTTCTAATCTAACATCAAGCAATAAACAAGTCAATAACCTGTTGTGTCCTCTTGAAAGCCATGAGAACGTAAAACTCCCTGGTTTTCTCCCCTCTTCTCCTTTGAAGGCTGTAAGATGAAGCATCTCTCCAAGGAAAAGCAAGCAGGCATGACCTGGACTGGACTTTTAAAGGCTTGAAGGATTTTCTCCAGCAAAGCACATGAGATGCATGTCCCTCAAGATGCAATGCAGCACCAGGACACCCTGGTTTCCCACCTCCCAGATCAGTGCTACATGTGCCACCACTCCAGTTGTGCAGGTGGAAGGCAGTGAAAGGGAAATGAGTGCCAAGAGCCAGCTGAGAGCTGCAAAGCAGCACAGGTGAGGACCAGTCCAGGGCTGGCAAGTTTTATGGATCTGGAGGAAATGTATGTCATGATACACATGAAGTCTGACAGGAATTGCCTTTTTCCTTCTCCAAACCAGCTCTTAGGAAATGAAAGTGTTGGAGTAATCATTCATGCACAACATGAGATGGTGGGAAACAATAAAGACCCAGGCAGATAAACTGTATAGAAACGGATCACCTTTTATTCAGTATTTATTGCTTGCCCTGTCAATTCTGAAATCAAACTGAGCAGTGTAACAAAATAATGATTTTCTTGGCCAGAAGCAAACCTTCAATCCTTCTTTTTTCATTAGTTTGTAAATAGGGTCTAACAGAGTGAAGTCATAAAGAGGCAGCCCTCGCTTGCTGAGGTTAGTACATTAATGCAGCACATCCTGTGTGCAGAGCATGGCAGAGCATGTGGAGAGCACTCTGTCCTCATGAGCACGTACAGGGCAAGGCTCTCCATTTGGACCCACCTGGCTGGAAACCTGCTGCTGTTCACATCTGTCCATGGAGATCAACAGCAAGAACTCTCCCCCAAGGACTGACTCATTCACCAGAGTTTCTGCGTATCTTGTAGGGGTGTCGTGCCTCTCCGCGAGCCTTCCCATCCTGCGAGAATCCAGATGCAGCCATTCCCCAAAACACCTATTCCTTGAAAAATGTGGTTTCATCTCTAGGGCAAGTATGAGAAAGCGGAGGAGCTGCTGTACCCCCAACCCACCCCTGCATTTTAGTATCTTAAAGCCACTCAGCAGCAGCAGCCACAGCCACGGACCGGGCAGCAGCACCCTGACACCAGCGTGTGCTCAGCCGCAGATGCACCGAGAAGTGCAGCTCTTGTGGAGCCAGCTGCAGCCTCCCCAATGCCAAATGAAGGTGGGAAGAGAGTCCCTCCGAATCACGCAGCGCTCTTCAGCTGTGCACCAAGCGGATGTCTGCCGGACACAGCCTCGTTCCAATACCGTTGAGTTTATTTAAATCACAGGTCTTTGCACAAAGTTGGTCTCTTCTCCAGAGTCCTCCGCGCTCAGCTGCGGAGCAGCAGCTCCAGCGGGCCCCACACCCGCATTAGTGTGTTGGCCAGACAGCAACCACAGCAATGGCAATCAGCAGCAACACAATCACCACCAGCATTCCTGGAAAAGATGAAACGACGTCAAGGTTGCTGCCTTCATCTCGTACAATTGGTCTTCTGCAATTAAATTCTTCCTCTGAGCCCTGCTCCTCCTCCCAGCTGAGACTGATTTCCCCTCCTGCTCACCCCGTGCAAAGCCCATCACAGATCCCTGCATGCTGCTGACCTGAGCAGGGCTGTGTGCTCAAACCCCACGTTGGCAGAGCAGTTCCTTCTCCTCCTGACCCTTCACATTGACTTTTTAGCAGTGCCTGCAGGGGATCTTCCTACTTAAACATCTGCCTTGCAATGACTAGGGGGTATGTGTAACTGACGGCAAGGCCAGTTAAGCTGTTCTAGAATCCCTCTGTACCATCCCACTGGGGCAAAGGATTATTCAGAAGGAAATTCAAATTGTATCAGGAAATTGTTTCCAATACAAACTACTCCCGCTTTCACACAAAGCTATTTGCAGAGCAAAAGCAGGGCTTTCAGGCATGTACCCGACCTGGGGAAATTAAGAACAACCAGCATTAAAGGCAGTGTAACAGTGCTCTGCACAGGCTCTGTGTGTTCCATCCTTACCCAGAACCACACCAGTTCCTGTGCAGAAGCTAATGACCAATATCATCTTAAAAACCTTCACTACTACCTTCTAGCTCAGGCACACCATGCTG